AACCTAAGGACATTGAGGCCTTCTCTAGGATATTCATCAGGGACTCATTCTGGTTGACAAGAATCCATAGGTGGTGGTTGAGCAGATGGCAGCTCAGGTATAACCAGCTCACATAGGTGTTGCAGACAGTTATGGTCCGGCGGCCGGAAGATATCGTGCTGTACGGAAAGATAGGGCCCCTAATAGCCAATAGTGTTTAGTCTATGGTGTAAGCAGACGGATGTGACGTTGTAAACCTAGCTATATAACACCTTGTTACCCATCAATAAACGCCATTTGCCGTCCACCACATTGGTGTCAACTAGCTGATGGCCCGAGTGGCTTGGGGGGGGTCGCCATGCTGTCCCTGAACCAGGTCGCTGCAGCCGTTTGAACTGCAACACATAGGCTGCCTGAGAATGCTGAGCAAGTCTAAAGACTAAGCCTAAATACAATCCAGAGAGAAGTGAGTTGCCTCGTTGCTCAAAGAAGCAGTTTTGCCCAGGTCATACCACTGAAAGCTCAAGCCACCACAGAAGAGTAAAGATACCTCCCCAACAAGTATCACTGTCACTTTGAAGGTTCATGCCCAAGGGGATGACATTGTCCATGCAGTATAGAGATTAATACCAAAGGCTGAGTTCTAAATATGATTAAATTACTTGACTTTAGACTAGACACTGATGATTTTTAGTCCAGTGGCAAGATAACTGCAGATCCAACTCTGGATAGTGGCAGATACGTAACTGTCTCACAAGAACAAGAAAGGCAAAACTTTCCCCTCGCTTTGGGCAGGAGGGGTCCAGGCTTTGGTATCCATGTTTTTCTTGCAGTCCCTTGGGAGATGGCCACCAGGACAACAGGGATATGGACAACCTTGCATCCCAAGGGACACACACACAGTACAACCACTATCTCCACCATCTCCCTGGAGGGCAAGCAAGCAAGGTGGCCCCGTTGTTGACTATCTGTCCTTTAAAACTATAGATAAGTTTCTTTTACTCTCAAACTGCAGTCACACTGCATAGCCTTAGGGCTAACATTGGATGACACTTACCACATTCAGCAATTTAGACTCTCATGTACATGTAATTTGTGCTTCCACTCAGGTACCAAGCTGAAGGTGAATAGAGGGATCTCCTTTAATCCTTCTCAGCACAGAGAACATTTCCAAGACGTCTGAAAGAGCCAACAGTGTCTCAGCTCACACAGTGCAGGGCCATCAAGCTGTCAGCACTGCATTAACAGGCTGGGAGCCTTTGATTGGACATCTAACAAGCTACTCAAACTGATGAAAACATTTTTAGAAATACAGTCACTATCATAGAAACATAATTTTCCCTTGAAAATGCTCACACTTTGCTTTCCAGGTCAGAGCTTCCATGAATTTAAAAGAACAGGGAACATTCCAGCTGCAAGTCCCCTAGTAGTGGAGCAGATATCAATAACTTCAAGATTTTTATGGCTGCTGTTAACTTAAAAGACTTAATTTACAACAAATTTACACACACTTCAAAAGCCTGCCAGACCAACCCTCACACTGGCCTTGCTGAGCTCACAAGTTTACATAAGGAATAAAACTTCTGCATAGGACAAATAGCTTAGACACTTCACAAACATAGCACACACCAAAACAACCTTCTCTTACCTCACTCAGACACAGAGGTTTTGCAGCACAAAGAGGTACAGAATCTAAAGCACAAGATCAAGGTGAAGCAAGAAATAAGATAGGCCCACAATCACAAAGCTGCCCCCAGCCTTTTAGCACGCGCACACGCGCACACACGCACACACGCGCACACACACACAACTGCCATATCCCCCTTCTTGGGGGCAGAGGCTCCAGACCTCTAATTACCTACTTTGCTCTCTGGAGCCCTTTCATTATCACAAGCAGATCAGTAGCTGCTGCTCCACTTTGTAAGGCTGCATATGGCTCATCTGAACATCAGGTGCTCATCACACCATGGCCTTCTCCATGTGGTGGGCAAGAGCTAGGAGGGAGAAGATTTGCAATTCAGCCCTTGGCATCTCCATTGAGTTAGAAGATGGACCAGGACAGCGATGAAGAGAGAAAGGAATGGTTTGAAGCTCCAAAGAACATCTTTTTTTCTGATGCAATTTGCTTTTCAAATCTCCCTTACTTATTGCTGTGCAGATGTTCCTCAGATCCATGAGTGGGGGATATGAGAGAATGACAGGGGCCCACGTACAACTTCAAACCAAATCACAGAATCTCCTAACACATAAAAACCCTGCTTCTAGCAACAGGCCTTGAGAATTAGGCTGGGGTATAATGATGATTTCACCAAATCTGCAATAATCTCCTGGAGAGGCTCATTCCAACACCGGCACATCTAGCGATCTTTCTAGCTTGAGCTGTCTCAGAAGGCTGTGCTGCCTAATTGCACCAGTGTCTGAGCAACCTGGGAACAAGGGGAGAAAAGGGAATTAAAGGAAGAAAAAAAGAGAACATCCCTACATGGGAGGAGCCCCGAGATAATTCTCCTCTATCACATGTGCACTGGTGGAGTCACTGACTCTACTCTTGTCTCCCCAGGACAGAGTCACAATGAAATTCTTCACATCTCACAAGCTGGTAACTTAGACTGGAATTACACTGGTGGTAGCAACATATTGCAAATTCCTTGGGTGTGATTGGCTCTGAAATGACTCTGTGTCTATTTTTAGGCTTTTCCCATAGCCCTCCACCTCCTCCCTCCCTCTATGGTACTATGCAGAGCAGAAATAACCTTTTCTTAGGAAAAGGAACCCTTTCTTAGGAAAAGGTTATTTCTCCATTTTCTCAGCTCAGTTTTCATGAGAAATACTATCTGCTATAAAACCCAGACCAGCAATCACATATGTATTTCACAGCCTCCACATCTGTATTGGCCTTCCCACCAGCAGCAAAACACAACTGCTAATTTGTAATCCAAAAATCAGGGCATCAGGTAAGTCTGCCCCATCAGAGCTCCCTGCTTTTTTCCCATCTCTCTCCTATATGACTGCTTAGGGCTAAGGTTTAATAAGGTCATTTTCTGGATAAAGGAAAGACATAATCTGCTCTCTTCATCTTCAGTCAGGTTCATCACTTCGTTCATCATCTTGTTGAATGAGTCCTCTCCAATTGTGGTTGGAATCCACTCCGTAAAACTGCAAATGCAATATCTAATTCACTGGAAATTCACTGTAGGGTTTGAACTGGTGTATCAGCACCTGCCTATTTGAAACTCACTAAAGGAAAAAGTTGGACCTGAAATTTTGGGTAATTCAGATTCAAAGTTAACCGGGCCCAGAGCTGTAAGGCGTCTAAAATGCACCTCCCTGCGGTAGAAAGTTGAACTACATTTATGAGCAAATTTAGAAAGCTTTCCAAGTATAGTGAATACCTTCTACAAGTGTTTTCTCTTCTCATATATTTCAGAAAAAAAATAGCATTTTCCTTATATTGTATAATACAGCTTACTCATAAAAAATAAAGAATAGTCCTGAACCTGAATATAACGTACAAACTTGGGACACCCGACAAATAAGTTTTCCCCTTAAATCTTCCTTATCTTCTGCTCCTTCTAGGACACTGTTTAATTTCTCCAATACAAACTAGCGTCAGCAAGTTTTCTTCATTTCCTAAAGTGTAATATTAATTCTACAACTACTATTGTATATGTTATATATAGCTGGGAAACAGGAGAACATACCTTGGAATGATGTATAAGTAAAGAGAGGTAACTAGCAGGATGTGCAATCATCTGTGCTGATAACATTAATAAGCTGCCTGGAAAAAAGAAGTGAACATCATGATGCTTTTTGCAGAAAATACATAATTATTCAGGATGATCAAATTCAGCTGTCATGGCTGGAATTAAAGGCACATCTCGAAACACCGAGTAATAAAGAGGGAAAATAAAATGTTGGGTGCAAAATAAAGTGTATGAAGGGGCCTATTATTTACTGTACCTACACTGTGATGAGCTCTGAAAAAAAACGTTGCTCCTCAGGGAAGAGGTCTTGCAAAAACTGAACAGATCTCTGAAAATATTAAATACGCTGTGTCTGCAGGAAATTCAAGAAAGAGGGATCAGCACACTTCAACTAATTCTAACAGTACTTGCTATATCCTGAATTTCCTGCAAAGCTGGACAGTCTGGTTTTGAATGACCTCTTTCACAATCCTCACAGCTTGTGCCAGCAGAGTGGCAGGAACAAGCTGCAGTGAAACAGTATTTTGGTGGGAATAGAGGATAAGAAAAAAAAAATCATAGTGCAGATTAAGTCTTTGCTACTATTCTAGCCCACAAAGCACAGGACAGGCTATGGGAAATGTTAGGTGACCCAAGAGATAAGGACAATACTGTAAGAAGTTAAGAAATGAGTGGCAGCACTAGTTGCGTACAGCACTAGTTGCATGCAGCGCACTCTGCCTTGGAAGGCTCACAGATTTCTCAGTTCTCCACAAATTACCTAGTAAACACCAGTTACTCCTCAGCCAGGAAAAGCAGCATCTCAAAAAACAATTATTGACTAACAATTCTCACAGTAATTCGTGTTTTTAAGAAAACCAGCAGGCTCTTTTTTTTTTTTTTTTAACTTCCATGTATTGTTCTTTTGAAGGCACAATGGAAAATTTAGTTTTCTCACGTTTTCTTTCCCCCTGCAAAGCAGCAGGGTACAAGTTACAATGTACATAATCTACCATTATTTGTAGATTATGAATCTACAATCAGTGCATATTTCGGAAGGTCTACAATTAAATTTTCACCTTTCTTGATGGCAAAAGAGGTACATGTATCAGGCAGCAGAAGTAGTTGAGAGAAGAAAAGTTAAAGCAATACTTGCTTAAAAAGCTATACTGCTATTTTAAGGCAGGCTTGGTGAAAGATTGACAGGCATTTTCCTCAGGAAATTAAAAGATTTTTGCCTACAGAAATACATTAACATTGATTGAAAAGAGGTTTTTAGAAACTATTTCATCAGTGTAAGGTTATATTGGCTTTACACTTTATTTGGTTAGAGAAACAAAGTTTTCTTTTTCAGAAGTCAGACTTCTCAGCCATTCCTTCACCTTGCAGGAATGGCACCAAATGAAGGGGAGGTAGTGAGGCTTTATCTTCACAACAGGAATCTTTTTGGGGGGAGGAATTACAAATCTGTGCACCACTGAAGTCTCCAGAACCTCTCAGGCTGTGTTCTCAATGACGACAGCGATGCCTTGTCCACCTCCAATGCAAGCTGACCCAACTGCGTATTTCCCACCACGACGCCTACACAGAAAAAGTAACAGCAAAAGTGAACTGTGTTTATAAGACCATAGCAGAGCTACTTCCCTTTCATAAAATCATGAGATATCAACTATTCAAATGTACAGTTAAAGATGGGGTTTCAAAATACGTAAAATCTTCATTTTTTGAGGAAGTATTATAAAGCCTGAACTGACGTTGAAATATTTCTGTAGAAAAACTGTGTACACACCTTAATTCATAAACCAGATGAGCTGTGATCCGTGATCCTGAAGCACCCAAAGGATGACCAATTGCAATGGCACCTCCGTTGACATTAGTTTTTTCTGAGTCAAGGCCCAAGACTTTTTCAACTGCCAGGTACTGGGGCGCAAATGCCTTATTCACCTAAAACACCATGGAAATGACGCAACTGTTTATGCTTGATTTTCAACAGTAGCTTTCGGCAGCATGTTTGCATACAAGGATGAATGAGGTGCACTTCTGGATGTTTTAAGTAAAAAATACTAAATCCTGTGTTTTTAAAAGTGTATTCAGACATGTAAAAACTGCCACTCCAACTCACTGTAAGTTCAAATCCTCGACACAGTGCGAATATGCAGCGTATTTTATAGAAAAGGTGTGATATATTCTGATGCAGTGTGTTTGTGAAGAGCCTACTTTTCTAGTGAAAAAATGGCATTGTTCACAAATGGAGTGTTTCGACTAACTTAAAACACTAACAATCCAGCCAACAGAGTAACCATATGTCACCTGAGGATACTTTCTGTTTTGCTATCAAATGATTTTCAGTTTCCATGTGCCTCATATCTTTGTGCTGCCCATGCAACTGCATGGAAGAAATCAGCTGAACAGAGGGCAGGGATGCAAGTCAGGACAAGCAAGCTCTGGGCATGCAGAAACACCCACCTCGTGATGACAGGCTGCACATTGCAAGGGGAATGTTCCTGCTCAAAAGGCCAACAGTAGCCTCCCTGTTCCTGTTAACCTCCTTACCTCCACTAAATCCATGTCCTTCAGGGTCAGTCCTGCCTTCTTCAGGACTTCAGTAATTGCAGGTACAGGGCCTATTTGGGAAATGTATGCACAATTAATAAAAAAAGGAAAAGGCTTTGAAAAATGTCATTCATAGCATAGCCTCATACCTAGCTCATAACCCCTAACTGCACCAATGAATTCTGGATATGCCGATCACCTGCTTTATTAGGTGGGAAGAAAACTCCTACATCGCTCTCATCTTCCTCCACACAGTGACAGGGAGATTAGAAGTGTCATTATTGCTGCACAGCTAGGTTGGTAAACGCATAACTTTCAAATCAAGAGGACTGACAGTCACTAAAACGATCTCAAGACTCTTCTGAGGTATTCTCCTCTCCAAGAGTCTGCCTCAGCCTCTACCACTTGCTACCTCCAGATAAACAAAATAAAAACAAAAAGGCAGGATTTCTGAAGATTGGTGGAGTATGTTTACCTTATGGGGATTACTGATTTGGTGTTTTAAATACAACTTACCCATAAGTCTTTTAGTTAAAAAATAAACAAATAAATTCCTTTGACCCAGATCAAACCAACCATCTGAAATCACTAACGTTTTTGGATAATATTACTGAGTTGGGTAATAAAGTTATTCTCTGGAAGAAAGCCGATATCTGCAAATTTATCTAATTCACTAGGGGAGTTCATTCTCAAAGCAGAGCTACCTAATGAAAGAGACACTTAAAGAGAAATTGAAAGGGCTACTTAACTATTCACCTGCAGGACAAAGATATCATGATGTTAGATAGGAGCTAATCATAAAACAAATGAATCGCAGAATGGCTGAGGTTGGAAGGGACTTCTAGAGAACGTCTAGTCCAACCCCCCCTGCTCAAGCAAGGAATGAAAACAATTCTAAAATGCTATTCAAGCATCTCAGTACCCAAAATGGTGCTGATAACTCAAAAATGAAAAGAATAAAAACAAGGAAGTGACCAAAGAGACAGGAAATGCTTTAGGTGTCCCTGCTGGAGCAGGGGGAGCTGGACTAGGCAATCTCTAGAGGGCCCTTCCAACCTCAACCATTCTGTGATTCTGTGAAAATTTGAGAGATGAAAGGGCCCAGTTCAAAGTTCAGTGGATCATTAGAAAGATACAGGCTTAACACTAGACCCTTTATGTATCTTGTTATATACTAATTTGCGCACACCTGTATGTGTGACAGTAATGACAGGATCTCATATAGAAAATATACAGACCATTAAGGAGACTTTTTAAGCTAATGAATTCTCTCACCAGAAACCGTGAGGAAGGACTCCCTAAAACTATCCATATGTGACAGGGCAGTTGCTCACTCTAAACTCCTCTGTTCTCAGATCCATTTTGGCCATGTCTATGAATCTCATTTGGGCTCTTTGAGTAGCTGCAGACAAGCTGTGGTGTTTAAGAATTGCGATACTAACCATTTCTCCATGTGGTTTATGAAGTTTTTAAACAGGCTAAAAGAGTTGCCTGACCTGGGAAGAATGGGCTAGTTTGGAACGCACAACAGAAGCATGAAATCTGGGGAGAAAAACCCTTTCTCTACATTTGCTTGAAGAGCTGGGTTAGTAGGATTGGCTGAACAAGAAAGCAAATCTGACAAAGCTTCATTTGCATTTCCACAGCCACATGAAACCAGTCAACAATCGCTTCTCTGGCAGAAGAGAAAAGAAATGCTGGCATACAATGCTGTCTACAAACTGAAAATAGGGCAAAAATCCTGGGGTATCTGGACCAGCTTTGAGGGTTCATTTGCACTTAACAGCTTGATTAGAAAGCATAAAATACGGGGCTAATGAAAAAAGCAGTTGATTCTCCAAAATAACACCTCAAGTTGTTTACTGGAATCCATTCTTTGCTGCACAACTGAGTAGCAGTTGAAAGGGATGCACATAGTCAGTACTCTCACAGCAAGAAGTGAGAAAGACAACTCAAAGTTATACATATATAATGGGATTTAAAGCTTCAGGAAAACTCAGGTAAATTGCAGGAGAAAATAGTCTTTAAAAACATTGGAAGAGCCCCAATTCTTTGACTTACTGAGTAACACAGAGGGTAAGGAAAAAAATGGTGCATGGCAGAGAGGATAGGTCAGTAACTCAGTGTTAACACCTACAGGTCAGGCATTGCACATATCCTATACGCCAAATTACGTAGTGCCCTGTGGTAAAAATCACACTAATAAGAGTGAGATGGACAGTGTCTCTGAAGTAATTCTCTGTCAGTGTGGAAGAATTGTTTGTGGAAGAATTGTTTGAAAGCAGGAACTGAGAGGAAAACTAGGGCCTAACCAAAGTTTTGGCATAACAAAAGCTTGCTTGGGGTGATACACAGTTGCCACTTCCAGGATGGTTGGTATGCAAGGACTCTGCTCCTCCACAGTTCCCTAGGCAACACAATCTGCCCTCCTCGCAGCTGCAAAGGGGAGTAATGGAGGATGGAGCAGAGTGAAGACACTGCAGCCAAACTCTGTTGCACTCCCTGTGCTGGGCCGCTGATAAGCCGCACAGTGGCTGTCCAATGGGAGATATACGATAACATGTCCGGGGCTGAGCCAGCAAAGGTGGCAAATCACTCCTTTCAGATGAACTTTGCTTGAACTTTGCTCATTATAATGTGAAAACCACACCTCCATTTAAATGAAAGCGAGAAACTTTTTCACCAATCAATAACAATATTAAGTATGACTCTAGTCACTCAAGCTCCACCTGAATGTAAAGAAAAGTATAAAAGGTGAACTAAGGATGTAAAGTTCGGAGGGAAGAAACCATCGTAACTCCTGGGTCAGTCGACAGGCTGAGCCCCCTCCTCTCCCCTCAGGTTGGGACGCTGCCTGAGGAGACTAAGAAGTGAGGGAGGAAGAATCCATCGTAACTCTTGGATCAGTTGACAGGCTGATCCCCCTTTCCTCCCCTCAGACTGGCGCGCTGCCTGAGGAGACTCGAGACTGAGAGCCCTCTCCCATCTTCTGGGGTGAGTGATGATTGCACATTTGTACATCAGAGCTAGCTAAAACCCCACGCTGTAGTAGAGAATTTCCTGTACTGACATCCGAAACCTGCTTTGTAAATGTTGCATTTGAATAAATCATACTGTTTGTGAACTCGACTACTTGTTTGGGGGGAGGCGATCAGACCTACAGTTGACAGACTGTTCGTGAATCCGATACTGCCAGAGTTGAGCTTATAGTTGATCACACTATTTGGGAACTCGATTTGCTCCTAGGAAGGTGATCGGACCTATGGTCCACCGACTGTTTGTGAATCCGATATTGATTTGATATCTCCTTCCCTCCACCACCACCACTACCGCTACGGCTTTCAAACTGCAACATTGCACACAGAGCTACCAGACTCAGCACACTGTGGCCTCCCTTTCTTTCCCTTATAATGCTCAACACAAGAATACTTCACAAAAAAATTTCAGCTTACCAATGCCCATTATGTTAGGGTCACAGCCAGATGCATGATAAGCTACTATCCTTGCCAGTGGAGTGAGACTGTGCTTTTTAAGTGCTGATTCACTGGCAATGATGATTGCTCCACTGCCATCACACACACCCTTGGAATAAAAGAGAAAAGCATTCTTAGTGGAAAAAGCACTTTAAACTAAGTATGCTCCTCTTAAAATGGAATCAAGCAGTTGTTATTAATTTTTAATACGCAGCTGTATTATTTTATTAAGAAAACAATCCATAAACTTCTCCTACTCTGTGGACTGTGAAACAAAGGTAAGTACAGATGTTTACTTAATTTAAATATTTTAGAAAAGTAAACCACTTTTTTTCCTACTAAAGTCTCCCTTGCACTGGAAACATCATTTGGTAGACTTGCAAAGACACTGCTGATATTGAATAATGTACATGTTTTAAAATTAAAAGTCAGTTTTCAGACACCAGTTCTTAGTGGGGCTACCAGCTATTTTAGGCAGGCATTCAGACTATAACCCCAAACCCATCAATTAACTGATTAAGATAATGCTTGTAAAGGGAACAGCCCCTACTGACATGCTGCTAAACTCCTGGTCTACCCTAAGTAGGAGAAAAATGTGTTTAGGACCACAGGGGATACTAGCTGTGGTACAAAGCTGAGCAGCAATATGCCCAGGAAACACATAAGTGATTTGTAAAGTGAATGTTCAGTAACCCCTAAAGGAAAGAATAGCTAATTCCAGCAGAGTCCTACACAGCCACAGCAGACATCAATTACATATATATTCAAAGCTGATGAAAAAAAATGTGGATGTCTTGACAAAAGGACAGTGACACTACAAAGTATTTTAGGACACAGGAGCAGGCTGAAGGATCCCTCAGCATCCAGGGGCTGGAATAGTCATCCAGGGGCAAGCTGTGTGCTGCAATTCAGTGGCAAAATTAGGAAGCACTCCTGGCAAAAGACAACTCTGACAGCTAGAAATTGCTCAGGAAGGGAGAAGTACACTAATAACAAGCCTGGAGAACCTCAGAGGTGACACCTTGCAATCCAAGACTTCGACGTACTCACTGAAGCATTTCCAGCAGTGACTGTTCCATCCTTCTTAAAGACAGTTGGGAGTTTTGCCAGTTGTTCCAGTGTAGTCTGGGGCTGTGGGTGCTCATCCTTTTGCATGCTTTCTTTCCCTTTTTTTGTTTTCACTTCAATTGGTGCCATCTCCTCATTGAAGTAACCAGCATCGGAAGCTATGACCACAAAAAGGAAAGTAAAAGACTTGTGATAAAAATAGTAGTGGATGATTGCCCAGAATCTCATTTTCATGTATACACAAGTTTCCCTCTACTTGAACCAGGAGTTCAGGAACAGTTCTTTTCATACTTCTATTATTTTGTTTAAAAAGACTATTATTTGGGGTTTTACAGTTTGTTTTTTTAGAAACTGGGTATAAGCCATATGAAACCACTCTGAAAATTATCTGAAAAAAATCTCTAATATTACAGTGCTATTTCAGGTTTAAATAACTGACATTTTTTTAACCACTAGATTTATATTTGCTACAAACCTCTGTGATTTTGTTTTATTCTATTATTCTGTCACTTATCAAAGGGCCAAAAAGGTACAAATTTCACTTGGACAGGAAGAGCGAAAAAATACTGAGCCACATCTTCTCTACTGATAACTGGCATAAGCTACTGTACATCAGCTAAAAATCCAGGCCTAGCTGCTCCTCCAAAGGCTTTGGCATTCCAAGTCAGAATCTTAGCATAGGAATCAGCTGCCTAAACAGCCTGGGACAATTCAAGATACTGCAGGTATTTAAGATGCCCATAAGAGGCAGCAAGTTTAAATGGTAAAAATTACATGCAAAAAAAAGAAAGAAGCAAAAGCTTCCTTTTCTTGGCAGGAATTAGTTATCAAGATCAGCAGGGGAAGCCACAGATTTGTAGGTGATTAATAAAAGTTACAAGTGGCACTATTGTATCCACTGAAAAAATATAAAATCTACCTTGAAGAGCAGCAGCCATTAAAAAGCACTCATAATCTAAAAGTATACTTAGATCCTTGCATCTTATAAACATGGAAGTCCCAGGAAGGCACTAGGTGTTCTACTGGTTTATGGCCAGTAAACCATACTGTTTATGTCGCCATAATTTAATGATGCCTCTGAATTATGGCTTTATCCGTAGAAACCATCCATGTTTAAAGACAAGGTCCCAGCCAAATAACTCAAACCAAAATACACTTATGTTTTCAACAGAAAGGCTTCAAAGTCAATCACTTGTCTGCTGCGTTTATAACATTCTTGTAAACAAATGATTAGTTATTGATACAGCCAGTAAAACAAAACAACTACATACACTAGACCATCCAAAATGCGCCTGTCTGTGTATACAGAACAACTTTAAATTTTAAAATGTTACTTTTTTGCCTTTTTAAATCTCTTTATTCAGGAAATAGAGAAAGGTTCTGCAAGATGCACTATTTTAATGCCTTGGGACTACATCTGACTCCTCAGTAGACTTTGCAAAACAGGAAAACACTCAATTCATATAATAACTTTTGCAACCCTTTTGTGTTCAAAGTAAAATGCAGTTTGCCTGGCTGAAAATGAAACAAAAAGGGGGAACAATACTGACTTCTTACAGGAGAGTGTGGCATCACACCTACCAGCAACATACAACTACCACCAAATAGGGGAACAACGTTCCTGTTTGGGTAGAACAAAGGGAATATACCCTTACAGGATACCGAGATTAAGGCAGCATATAGCCTAGCATAGAAAACTGCATGAACATTAATGCTTTCAAAAGCAACATCCATTGGACGTCTTGTTAAACTTTACAATGTTTCCAAAGATAGAAAATGATACTAATCTTACAGTCTGAAAAACTGAAATGAAGCTCAGAGAGCAACAGACAGTAGCCAGAGAGCAGCAGGAACACAAGTTAGTATTACTGTTGGTATATATATGCCCAGTAAAATACTAAGAGAAAAGAGAATGCCTGCCAGAGGTTTTACAGCTGACTTTGCTACTTTACACAGCGGTAGCTGGTATCACAAAAATCAGTAAATTTACTGAATAAGATCACATACATTTAACCACAATAAAATTTTGCTGCCTATTGCTTTAAATAACTCTCCAAAGTGTTTAGAAGCACGTGATGGCCTCTTGCCTTCCCACCACTGAAGGAGCTCCATTTAGTCCAACATCTGAAGAACAGACCTGTGATGTGGCACTGCTACTACCATCTTAACAATCTTTGATGTCTATAGTCGTGTGTTTTATTGAGGAAACTGAAAGACCACACACTAAAGGATTTCAAAATTACAAAAATCAAGCAGTGTATGAGCTACAGACAAATTAATATATTTTGAATTGATATTCTTAGCTAAACAGATTGGAAATTGATATCATGTAACATTCCATTCCTGGATTTACTAACCAGCTTTGCATCTCTGTTGTGTTTTCATTGCGTATTGGTCACAGTCCTCCCCTGTAATGTTGTATTTTACTGCCAGATTTTCAGTTGTAACTCCCATAGGTGTTTTAATGTGTGTGTCATTCACAGCTGACCACAATGTGTCTTCCATCTGCATTGGACATAATTAAAATTATTATGCAGTGCAATTTTAACATTAATAGCTTTAAATTACTCACTAACCTCTTGGAAACCAATGTCAGTTTAAGTCAGGTTACCTACAGATATTTTAATTAGAACAAATACAAAGCAAAGGTGCATGCAAGACCTTGTGTGTTATTTTAATTACTCTATGTCTTGTCCTAGCACAGCTCCTTTCATTTATATTATCACCGTAAGTGGTTAGGGAAAAGCCTGTGATTTTTAGTTTTTCAGTGTATTTTATTGCTATATGAATTATTTACTAATGAGCTATGAGAAAACGTATCTCATAGCAAGAATGAACAGTGAGGAAGTGTGAAAAATCACAGCAAATTATTGACTCTGGCTCTTCCTCTAATGCCAGTTAAAATCTCCACCACACTTGAGTTAAAACTTTCTGCGGGTAAAAGGTCTCAGGTGAGAAAATAGCTAAACTTAACTTCAAATAACCTAATAAAGGCAAGCCCAAGAAGTCCAGCTAGGTGTTCCTCATTTGTCTCTGACAAGTACAATTCTGCAAGATCAATCACTCTTACACCTGTAACTGTGTAATTCAATTATCTTCATGATAAGGACACCTGTGGAAACTGAGTGCAACCAGCAACTTTGCAAGGGGCTTTCTGCAAAGACTGAGGCTGTCACAGTGCCACAGAGGATTCACAGGAAGGGCAGTCTAATGTATTTCACAGTGTAAAAACTGTGCAGAGGAAAGAGAAAAAAAAAAAAAGCTGAAATATTTAAAGATCCTAAATTAAGAATTTGATTTGGTTAACACCTGCTGAGTAAACAGTAATTATCACAGCAGAAGTGCTTCCTTCTGCAAATTTTCCACTGTATTCACTGAGAATTCTTCTTCAGAAGAAACTGTTAGAAAAATTTCTCTGTCAATAGATTTAACTTCAGTTTTTCAGGCTTAAATTGAAAGATGCTTACAACTTGGAGGCATATGTGTTCTCTAATGCTCCATTGCTAGCCTTACTAGCTTTACCTAAGCTCTTTATGTGTCTCTCTCTCTCACCCTCTGACAACAGAGAAGATTTTATGTTATATATACACTACTTTGATGGGATATACCAAGTGAATTAAGCTTTGTATGCAGGAGTTTAATGACACATTTCACAGGGGACAGGAGTTCATATACAGTTTGCACAAATTCACATATATTTTTGAAAATGCTAGAAAACTGGTATTCTTAACAAAAATTACCATAACTGCTTTTTTAATGTCTGAATACTTGATAAATGCTTTGAACAACTGAATTTGGATCTATTGCCAATGATTTCATTTGCAAGACTATAGCGTCTATGTGTCCAGTACTTCTGTTGCTCTGTAAACATGACTTCATTCACAGGAAAAAGAAGACAATATTAAACCTTGATATCTATTCCTAATTTGGTTACAAACTGAATCTTTCGAACAGCATAAGGAGACTGGCTCATATTTTCAGCTCCACCACACAGAACCACTTCTGAGTCATTAAGACAGATTTCCTGTTAACACAAAAACAAAACAGATCCAGCAGTAACAACTGCTTTAAAAAAGCACTTTGTCACCTGCAAAGCCACACACAGAATGAATTCATGCTTATTTATGCATACATTTATGAAGGGTCTAACCCTCTAATAAGAGGGGGTTCTGCCACCTTTAATATGTGCTCATTCACCTAGCTGTCAATGCAGTAGGATTATACCCATGAGAGGAGGAAGAGAACAAGGGTACCTGCCTGTGAAAGGACTAAGGAAGAAAGCCAATACATGTATTGCCATGCTTGTATGGTTGGGTTAAAAGACATTTGGCCTCTTTTTTTTTTTTTTTAATAAACCAATACAGCATTGGTACAATAAAACCAAATATTAGTTTTTTTGTTTGTTTTGTTTTTTTGTTTTTGGGGGGGATCTGTTTCCTCTCCACCTGCAATCCCCTCAGAAGGAATAGAAATCAAACCTCAAAATCTGAAACTGGGCCCTATGATTCTAAAAAATGAAACATTGTTTTAGAAAAGATTAGTCAATTGAATTGTCAGAAAAAAAAATTACACACTAATTCATCACTGCCATATCACTGTCCCCTAAACGCATGTCCTGGCAGTTCAAAATACTCCTTCCTTGTTTGTATCTCTTTGGAAAGTAAAAGCCTTGTGCAAAAGTCCAAATGTTGTGATTGAATCACTGATAAGAGAGAGTTCTATGCTCAATAGCAATTCTACTACTCATAAGAAGCACTCTGACTCATTTCAGAAAACATCTCCCTGTATGATCAAAGGCCAATGTCTAAACACACATTTGAAAGAAACTCTAAGAGCCAGACATAATGTGGAAAAAAGGTACTGCAGCTGGAAAGATTCTGAAATCAGTGACTTAACAATATCTTATGTTTTCCTTATCCCTTAATTTCAAATCAGTTCAGACACAGTGGGATGACAAAAGACCAGATGTGGACTAGTAAGCAACAACTATATCAAGGTAAATTAAAACTGCTCAGGTTAACAGGATAGGCCCTCCAAAAACAGGCAATGAGGAAAGACACCACTGTTGCTTCATCTCCACTTTGTGAAATTTTATATATATGATATTTTAATATATGTTGCTCTGTTCTAACGGCAAAATCTAATTCCTCCAAAACTTTTCAAAGATAGTTATATCACCCTTCTATTTGTACCATAAACAGATGAGTCTGTTTTAGATCCATTCCTTTAATAAGCCACAAGTCATCATGGGATAAAACAAAACTGATGTGGCAGCTGCATTCCGACTGCTGAGTCAGCACATGACTGACTAGAGTACAGGAACAGCCCAAAAGACTGAATTACAACCATCCTGCTAAAGGCTTGTTATGGATCTTTACCAAACAGAAAATTGCTCCACAAGATCATGGCCTAAGCTAACATATATTATTAAGACATTGTTCTGAGCACAAAGCTAGCTGAAATGCAAGTTCAGAAGAAAAGTGTAACCCAAGATATATTTTTATTAGCAAAAATGTTATTCTTTATGTGAAAACTTTACATGAGACCTGAATGCAGCAGTTAGTCTGCTATTCTAGACCACAAATAATTCTTACAAAACAAACAAACAAAAAAGTTGAATAAAGGAAGCTCAGCCGGTATCTGTAAAAAGAAAACAAAAGCTACCTTTTTGGCTGAAAGTTCTTAAGAAGGAACACAACATGTTTGTTGTTTTATTGTGAAATTTCTCACATATTTGTTTCTTCTGCACCTTTAACACAGTAAACACCACAAGCAATATATCAGTACCTAATATGGTGAAGTCAAAAAACAAAACAAAACAGAAAAACACTCTTGGCTTTCTTGCCTAAAACAAAGCCTCTGATCTAGATACGTGGATAATTGCAGTTTTGCAATGCTGGCACAATGCATTCAATTGCATCTACATCACAAACTCCCTGAGAAAGACACAATTCCCCAAATGCTTCTGCCAGTCAAGACATGTATCCTTCAAGATCAAAGTACAATTATATTCACTTAAAAAAATCTATAGAGAAAACTCAATGGAAATGGGCTCAAACCAGTTAAGTCTCCAGAAAGAAGAGGATTTATACAACCCAGTGACAACTCACTGTTCATTATGTTACACAGCTCAGGTCATTAAAATAGGAAAAACGTACCATGGATTAGTCACTCAAGGTTTACTGAATCCACATTTTAGAGAAGATCAGCTTGTCCTGTTTTAAGCTGGCTATGAGGAACTAAAAAAGGAAGTCTTGCTTCAGTAATGTCACAAATCAAGTCCCACAAATTTAAGTCCTCTAAATATGAACAGGAAACACTACACTATGAATGCTTATTCATTCCATTTTCATCTCTTGGCTGCAAATCAGAAGTGATTATCTATAGAATTACACTGAAATAGTTGTCTGAAATAATCAACGACCAGCACATTTTCCATGTCACCAACCTGCACGACATTGCCAACAATGACGCTGTCAACGATCTCAGGAGAGACCTTGCCAGCTGCCAGCCAGCCGCCAGCGCTGCCCGGGCAGCGTGTTCTGCCAGGTCTATGGCTGTGAAGTCCTTCAGCAAACCTCCATAGGTGCCAAAGGAATTTCACTTTGCTGCAACAATGAACACACCTGCAACACGAGCAAGGATTATCCATATGTGTGGAATGGAGGAGAGGACAGTTAAGTTCCTTTATATGTATTTATGTCAGCTATCAGAACAGACCTGTGGCAAAGAGAATGAATTTATCAAAAGGTTTTGTACAGGTAAGCAGACACAGCGACTAAACCAAGCATAAAATCAGCAAGTTGTCCTCAAAAAAATAATTCACAAGAGGCTTTGTAAATATAGACAACTTGAACACCACACAATTCAAGATAAGACACAGGTTATAGCAGCACTTTAGACAGAGAAGGTATGCAGAATCAGTGGTCAGAAGGAAAAGCTGAGAAGATGCTGGAAATAACTCTTTTCCAAGAATAGGTTTGGGGAAAAAGAAAAAAAAAAAGGAAAAAATAAATAGTTTGAATATACAGCAGACAAAGCAGGTTGCCATATCACAACGGACTTTGGTGTTACTGTACTAAAAGCATCAGAGTGGGATTCATGAAATGCCATAATGGACAACTGTGATATAACCTGTTGGTTAAGGAAGAAAACACAAAAGGCCTTTTAGAAAACACAAGTTCCCTCATCCTACAGAAAATTAGCAAATTGCTGGTTTATATTCTGAAATGTAAACACTGACATAGTTTTCACACAGAGTAAAATTTAAGATCCCTTTTAATTTTGATTCCTTTAACTTCAGAGCAAAAACATTCTATAATCAAAAGCATAGTGATGCTTCCATACTGATATAGATCATCTAAACTGTCTTAGCATCTGCCTTCCAGTTTCTGAGGAGAAAACGCAGCTTTCAGCAGAAAGGAAGAGCCTGTGCAAGGTGCATGTGCATAAATGAGCTGGCCAGAAGAGCCCATAAGAATTTCAGTGTTGTCTTTAAACCAAACCAAAGATCTCCTAACTATCTGGCACAGCAGCTCCCTGCCACGTGAGGCAGCCTGTGAACTTTTGCCCAGTTGAGCAGCAGAGCTCACCCGCCCCTTCTTCCCTGCTGCTGCCATGAGAACGTCTACAATTATTTTAAGTAACACTATAGGGATATGTAAGGATGTAAAAGTGTAGCTAAAGGAAATCATCTGTTCCTTAAACTACTTGTGAATGCTATAGGGTTGCTTTCAGGCCATTTTCTGCAAGCTATGCAATGCAACCTCTTTGGCCAGTTTGGCAGAGAGAGGATGCTCCCCTCTGTTGCTCATGTGTTTGGAGTCCAAACTGCATGAGTTACAGAAGGGGCCTTTCCAAATGGGTGAAGGTCGCACTTGTTCCACTGACAAGGATAGGAATACAATGTTAGGATCTGAAACACAAAATGAATGCACTCAAAAGACCATGTGGGCTGGAAACTACTAACAGACACAATCTGTGAACCCCCACAAGTATTTTATTTATTTCAAGCTTACTTCTTCATTAAACATTATCAACACTTCTTTTTTTTTTTTTTAATATATATCTATAGGTCAGGTCAGAATTTTTTAGCTCTCATCCATTAGGTCTATAAGGGTTATCTCATGTTTCTAACTTTACTTTCCCAGGAGCAAAATAGGCCTTAACACTCCCACCTCCTTTTCTCCACTCCTCCTTCCCACTGATACCTATCCCTCCATCTCCTGGTTGCAAGGCTTTGCTGTGGGACAGCTCAAAGAACAGATCAAACTTTCTCCTCCTTTTTGGCTAGGTGGTTGGTTATCTTGTAGGACCCTGTGCAAAGTGAGGCCATGTAAGGGGTTAATAAGGTTGCGGTGACTAGGTACCTAATCTCGCCATTTGCTTTTGTGAAAATAGCTTGCTGTTCGGATTACGCGGAATTAGTTTAGCACAGGCAGAAAACACCAAGAACTAGAACTAACAGGACACCACCTCCTGCTCTTGTTGCAAGTTGCACCTAATCATGCCATCTGCTTCTATAAACACCGCTTGCTACTTATGCTGAGTCACCCTGCTCTTGCTGCAACCATGAGATAAGATACCAGCCGTGAAGAACTAAAATAACGTATGAGGGAGTTGCAGCTGTCTATAAAAACACGAACTTCTCCCCAGGCGGGCGCGGATCTCGGGCATTGTAAGAGATCTGTCGCCGGCCGGCTAATAAAGCTTGCCCTTTTACCCACCAGGTTGAGTGTGCGGGTGATTGCTGGGATTGCGGACTAACAATCTATGTTATTTGCTTTATCAGCTACACAGTGTTGCTTTGTAATCAGTCTGGAGGTGGAATTTACTTTACACCTTCCTTTTACGCTCGCACTTAATCTCCCTCTTTCATCAGGCTGCTCACTGCAGCCTGCTTCTCTGCAACAGCACTGCGGGCCAAAGACTAATCCAGACCACTGAGGTAGCTGAAAATTAATTTAGAACCAGGAGAAAGAGAGGCTAATTTTCATTTAGATCAGTTCCTGTGGTCAGATTTGTTTTCTGGCAGATCAATAAAACAGAAATTCCAGACTAAAGGCTGAACTACCAGGGGCAGAGGAACAAGCACAACCTCTTCTAGTGTTGAGTTGTGCTGAATTAAGTGATCGCAAAGCTATTGCCCGAGGGGAATTACTCAAGAGCCTGTCTGACTTTGCTTGATGGGAGAGAGATCTACAAACACCACTCCCTCCATGGAATAGCAGACTATCAGGAGGGGCAAAGGGTAGCTCAAGTCCTGAGCAAGAAAGGATGAAAGGACAGCAAGAAAGGAGACTCTTTCACATCCATTACCACTTCAAGATTCCCAAGGTCATCACTATTTTCCAAGCTGATACACACTAGCAGAGAGCAGACTGCTATGAAAAGAACACAGAGCGGCACTCGAAACTTTGGGGGCTACAGAGCAAGGTCACCCTGAATCCTTGCCATACATTTGATTCAAGACATCTGTTAATCTGGGTTAGTTTGTTTACAGCCATTAGTTAGTTAATGTATTTACTTATGTAGCACTGAAATATTCCCTAACTCCTCAACACTTCACATGAAAATATTGGTCAAATCCTATTTTAAACATCTATAAAACCACCATTAACCTCAAAAAAAATGAGGCCACAAGAACAGTGTATGAAAAGCACAGTGCCAAGATATGAGAAAAGATCCTGAATTAGACACTAAAAGCTAATATCAAATAAGTAAATAGAGGCAAAGCTGCCCTCTCTACCATCCAGTTCTGTAGAGCAAAACAAAATTACTGAAATAGTGCCAAAATGGCCTTTCATTGCTGAAACTGCTATTACTTCAACAACCTGGGAAGTAGCAGAACACTGTAAAATACAAAAAATCCCTATGTCAGTAAGTTTCATATTTTTTTTAAAACAAATTAGGCAATAAAGTAGGTATTAAGTACTGTAAGTTATGTAGGTGTTAGATGTCTTATTTTTAAGGGATACAAAATTTAAAGCACCTAGAGCCTCAAGTATTTTTTAGCACAGAAAACTTAGGAACTGGGAGAACTTATAAAAGGACTTTATCCTGCACTATTGTTGCCAGCAGAGCCAACTTCAAAAAGGAACCTTTACACATAGAAATTTCTAGGTTTCTGCATGTAGACATGTTTAATTAGCAGACATACATGCACATCCATGTTAATCTAAATTGCCCGCCCCAGCGACCCCACAACGGCGACACCTCGCAGCAGCGCAGCACTAAGGCCACCCCCCTTCACGGAACAGCCACCAGCCACCTCCCCGCGGCCACACTGAGCAGCCGGGACCCCTTTTTTTCCCCTTTTCCCTCCTCTTTCTACCCATTTCCCTCCCGTTGCCGCTGGGTCGCGCCTCACCCCTCAAGAGGGCCATGGTCGCGCCCCCTCAGCTGCTTCTGCTGCCAACGCCCCCGCCAGCCTGCGCGTCTGCAGCCACGAATTTGCCACGCCGCCAGGAGGGGCGGAGAGGCACCCGTGCCAGGGGTAGGTAGAGCGGAAAAAAATGTATTTTATTTTTGTAATTTTTTTTTTTAGATTTTATTTTATTTTAGATTTCAGGTTTTGTCTCTTCTTTTGTTTTTCCTCGGACTTCTGTTTCTACAGCTGACGTGCACTCCAGGGAATCGGCG